TAAATCCAGGTAAAATGTAAAGGGATATTTTCACATAGGGAAGTTATATCCAGGGTTGTATCTATAGATAACTCTTTGTATCCATTCATACAAGTGCTTGTTTCAGTAACATTAGTTTTGTATGTTAACTAATTCAGAACCCTTTTAAATTAGAAAAATTACAGTATGTTGCCTATACAGAAAGTGACATTGAAAATGAACCTACTCCGAGTAAACCATGTGTCAACTAGCCCCAGTCTACCATATATTGTGGAATTTGCGATGACCTACAGTAAAACAGGTAGCTAATACTTCAAGAGAAGTGCTGAGACTGAACCTCAAGTGCTGGTCTGACGTTGCACGTGCAGTTCTAGGTTTGTAAATATAGAAGATATAACTAAGATTAGTGATGTTACATATGACACTGAAGCTTCAAAGCGCGTATCGAGTAAGCAGCGCAATTTCTCAGGAAGCTGTGTGCCGGTGTTCTGTCAATTTGTGCTACCCTGTCAGATTTTGCTACCTACCATTAAAACGGTGGGTAGTACAATTCGACAACGAAAAATGCTACCTGTAAAATTATGGTTTATTAACGTCTACACCTACCACAACCCTAAACCTACCCTTACAGTAATGCAAATACAGTAATTATGTGTTATATTCGCGGTTGTAGCTAGAAGGGATACAGCTACAGGAAACCAACAATCTTTTCTACGTATTAGATTGTGTTTTATTAAAGTCTACACCTAAGTCTACAATCCGATGGGTAGGATAAAATGTCAAGACACCTGGGCTGCGTTCAGCCCCGACAAAAACGGTGCAAAACGTGAATTTATTTTGATGTTAATTACATTGTGCCAGCTGTCTCTTTAATACCGCGTGGTTTACATACATGCTGCTGCTGATTGGGCTGACATGTTTGACACACCAACCAAACAAGAGAAAACGCATCTCAAACCCCGTTGCACACCGTTGAACACCGTTTCCAGGAAACATGTCGTTCAAACCGGAAACCGTAGCAAAATGGTGCGCACCGGTTTGAGCTTGAACTTGCCCCTGAGCGCGTATTGTTTTCAGAGAATCACGTGGTCAACGAAAAACGAAGCCTCACTTTCTGTCCAATCACGTGCGCGTGTCGGAATGTTCGAAACTCCTTACTTTACGAGTAAGTTTTCATTCAGACTTATTCAATAAAATTTTTAAATATCCAGTCATACAAGTAATATGAAGAATACAAATTATTTCATTAAAAAATGTATATTTGGCATATGCAAATCATATGTGTGCATTATTCTTCTATTACATCATATTGATATTCATATTGGCAT